TTCATTGTAAATGTAAAAATATAAAATAGAATTGTTTTTGTTGTTGTTGTTTTCTGGTAGTGTAAGTAATGTTTATTTAACCAGGAACCAAAAAAAAAAAATTTAAAAAAAAAAAAAAATTAAAAGGGAAAAAAAAAAAAAAAAAATATATATATATATATATATATATATAAATTCCCAGCTACTTTCCAAGGCACCATCTCTCATGCTCTCTTAGTGTAATTTGAATTAATAAAGTAATAAAAACTAATAAATATATTAAAGCAATACAGACAAAATAATAATAAAAACACAATAAAATTACCACAACGTTAACCAAAATTAAAGTGAAAGCAGAAAATAGTAAACAAAAAAAATGAATTCAAAATATAAACCAAACTATAACAGTATATTAATGATTAACTACAGTAAATTAACATTGCTTGAGATAAATGTAATTGAAATAAAATATATATATATATATATATGAAAAAAGTATTGTTTTTCTTTACTTTAACTTGAAGTACTACAATAACAAAAAAATATATTAACACAAACAATATAGACATATTTAAAAAGAAAATGAAAGCTAAAAAAAATGAAAATGAAAAAAATCTAAAAATAAAATATAATTTGAAATATTAACAAAAATTATAATAGTGTATCAGTGATACTACAATAACAAAAAAAAATATATTAACACAAACAATATAGACATATTTAAAAAGAAAATGAAAGCTAAAAAAAATGAAAATGAAAAAAATCTAAAAATAAAATATAATTTGAAATATTAACAAAAATTATAATAGTGTATCAGTGATACTAAAATAACACTGTTGCAACATCACATCATTAAAAAAAATGTTTTCACCTTATCTAATGTCATTTGCATTTGTTTGTGTGTTTGTGTGTGTTAGACATTGACGAGTGTTTGGACGCGCTGCAGTGTCCCGGTCAGCAGTGCCTCAACTCTCCGGGCTCGTATGAGTGCGTTCCCTGCAGAGACGGACACAGCATGCAGAACGGACGCTGCTCAGGTCAGACGAGCCTCCGAATACAGAGCAAAGCCTCAGTCTGTCTAAATACTTACTGTGCACACTTTCAAGTCATCTTGAAGTTCTCTGAGTGCAAACAGCTGCGACTCTTAAGAGCATCATGCCACAGAATAAAGGCTGTAGTGCAGAAAGTTGGCTTTGGCAAGTGAACGCCTTCAAATGTGTCAGAGCTTCGTTCCTCACACTCGCTCTATCGCTGCTTCCTTCCTCTCTGATCTGATGACCTACAGATGGCAGGACTCGTGTTTGAGCACAACCATCTAATATCTGCCTGAAGTTTCACACTGAGAAAGTGTCCGGGTCGAGGGAGGGTGAAAACTCAAAACTATATTTATATTATTATATAAAACTACTGTGCATGCTACAGCAAACTAGCATAACACATTTCAATAAGAATAAATCATAAAATGTTAAGAAAATAAATATAGTTTTCATTAAAGAAATAAACACATCAAATGTTAATAAATAAATGAATCATGAAATGTGTCTGTAAATAAATAACATCATTTATTTATTCATGTTATTGACATATTTCACGACTTATTTTTCAAAACCTACATTTATTCATTTTCTTAAGACATTTCATGATTTATTTAAAATATTTATTTTATTGACACATTTAATGATTGTTTTTTAAATATATATTTATTCATTTTATTGACACTTTTTCATGATTTATTTAAAAAAACATTTATTCTATTTTTTTTTTACATATATTTATTCATTTTATTGTAACATATTTTTCATTGTATTAAGCTATTTCTTGATTGATTTAAAATATTTATCTTATTGACTAATTTTTTTAAACCTTTATTTATTTGATGTTGATATTAAGAGTATTTGATGACACATTTCACACTTACATATTTATTTATTTTGTTGAAACATTTCATGATTTCATGGTTTATTTGTGAAAACATTTATTTATTTGACATTTCCGTATTTATTGACAATTTTAAACATATATTTATTAATTTTATTGACACATTTAAAGATTTATTTTTTTAAAACATTTATTTGACATTTAACTTTTTTTTTTTTAAGCATATAGTATAATTAATAATTTTATTGACACATTTCATGATTTATTTTTTTTAAACATATTTATGTTTCTGACACATTTCATAATTTATTTTTTTATTTTAAATATATATGTATTTTTGTTGCTGAAAAAAAATCAAGATTTATTTGTTGGCATGTATTTATTTATTGACATATTTCTTGATTTATTAATTTACAAACATATGTATTCATTTTATTTATTTATTGACACTTTCAATGAAACATTTATTTATGACTATGGCACACAAAATCCTCCACAAGCGTTTTACGCTGATATCTTAAAGGCACAGTACAGCATAAATCAGCCTGTTTGATTCAAAGGGACAGAGAGAAGGTATACAATGCTCATGAAAACTAAATCATGACTATTTTTGGTGCAAAGCGCTTGACTGACATCATAAGAAAGCGACAAGGCAGAAGATAAAGTGATATGCATCGTGGCAGACCAAACCCAGGTCATGTTGTCAGACACTTATTAGATCTATGGCTCAGCATTGTCCCTGCTAACCCGTGCTGTTTGTTTTCGCCTCAGACATTGATGAATGTGCGAGTCCTCACCTGTGTGGGCCGCAGAGCGTGTGCATGAACACAGACGGCTCGTACCGCTGCGACTGCTCTCCGGGATACAGAGCGGCCGGGCCGCGGCGCCAGTGCCGAGGTCAGAGAAATATTACATCCATCCTCCGCTTTATACTGTCTCATCATGTGTGAGTTTGTTTTTAACACACTTCTGTCTGGCTCAGACATTAACGAGTGTCTGGAAGGAGATTTCTGCTTCCCGAGCGGAGAGTGTGTGAACACGGATGGATCGTATAAGTGTGTTTGCGCGCAGGGCTACAAGAGCGCCGCTAACGGGACGTCCTGCCAAGGTATGAGCCCAGACGTGATGCACAAAACCTGTCGGGCACCGGTGTTTTTCTGAGCCACCTTGGATTTGGCTTTGGACCTTGTCATTAGGGAATAGTTTCTCTCTCTTGAATGTGAAATGCTCCTTAATTCTTAGACGGAATGATTCTGTTCGCATAACTGCATTAATCAAACATCTGGAGTAAACATGTCTCCTTTCAACACGTCCGCCACACACCCGCTGAGATCAAATCAAGATAATTAAATTGAAATTTATATTGTAAGTGCATATACTTTCATAAAAAATATTTAATTTTATTTCAGTAATTATTAAAAATGTAAGTCCAAACCTATATGACCTATATTATTTTTAACTGACACATTTCATGATTTATTTATTTTAAATATATGTATTTGTTTTAATGGCATATTTATTTTTTGACGTTTATTTATTGACACATTTTATATTGATTATTTGTTTACCGACATTTCACAGTATTTAGTCATTTATTTATTTACATTTTATAGACCCTTTTAATTTACTTAAATATGTATTATTTATATATTTATTTATTTGTAATTATTTATATATTTACTGACATTTGTGTGTATTTTTTTATTATTATTAGAAACTTTTAATCAAAAATGTATTTATTATGGCACTCAGAATCCTCCATAGGCATTTTACACTGAAATCTTAAAGGCACAGTACAGCAAAAATCAGCCGGTTTGATTCAGAGGGTCAGAGAGAGGGAGTACATTGCTCATGAAAACTAATTGTGGAAATAGGTGGAAAATAAAAGACGTGTTTTTGCACACTTTTTTACAAACCAAAGAGCAACTTTCAGTAATTTGGCTAATTTGACTTAATGCGCAGTTCAGCTCAATCCGAATCGTCCAGAACAGAGCACAAATGTTGTGAGACTGAGCATCACTGATGGCTTCTGTGTGGGATGATCTCATGCATTGTGTGCGTGTGTGTGTGTGTGTGTGTGTGTGTGTCCAGATGTGGATGAGTGTGTTCAGGAGGGAGTTTGTCAGGATGGCCACTGCACAAATACTGAGGGATCGTTCCTGTGCCACTGCCAAACTGGCTTCACCACCAACCCAGAGAGAACAGTCTGCCTGGGTAAAACACTCTCACACACACACACACACACACAGGTTTGTTTTTATGGTTTATGGGGACTCTCCATAGGCGTAATGGTTTTTATACTGTACATACCGTATTTTCTAGTGCCCTACACCAACCCTTCCCCTAAACCTACCCCTCACAGGAGACTTTCTGCATTTTTAGATTTTCAAAAAAACTCATTCTGAATGATTTATAAGCCTTTTGAATTACGGGGACACTGAAAATATCCTCATAAATCACCTTCTCGTTGTAATACCTGTCATACCCATGTTATTATACAAATTTGTGTCCTCATAAACCACATAAACATGCACACACACACACACACACACACCAAATGTTACTTGTATCACATTTTTCTATTGGGGAAAAATTAATCCAGTATGTTACAATTTCATACTGAAAAAAAAAGAAAACAAAAATTAAAAGTATTAAAAGCTACTCTAAAAGCAGATATATGAATTTATTTGAATACAGTTCCAATCCTATTTCCTTAATTGAATTGACAAGAAATGACATCCAATAAATCTACAATCAAATACAATACAATCACTTTTGTGGCCTGGCTCATATTTATTTATTTATTTATTTATTTTAAATGTTTTTTTAACAATGACAGTATTGGCAACAGCAATTTAATTTAATTTAATTTAATTTAATTTAAATGAGGGACAAATTAGTACAACATTGTTATGATTTAACTAGAACAATTAAACAAATTACTAAAATGTGGATGTTTAAGTGGAATATTTTGTATTTTAGATTTTGTCTTACGTGAAGTTAAAAGGTTTTATTTACATAAAATATATGCAAAGTAAATAAAAAAGATATGGCCATGATTTTAAATTAAATTAAACTAGTGATTTAACTAAATTATTTAACTAACTTAAAACCAGGGAATGAATAATATAAAATTAATAAACACATGCACAATAGAACTTTTTTATTCCCTATTGAGTGGAAACTAAAGTCTGAGCAGATTAAACTATTCAGCACTCCCAAAAAAAGGATAAAGTCATTATAGAGACATAATAAAAAGTTTAAAGGTATTATAATTTGAAATCAGAATTATTGTTTTCATCTTTTTCCCTTTGCTTTATTTCTGCTTAAAATGTGACCTTAATAGCAGAAGCTCCCATCCGGCGAGTAAATTGTAGCTGTGTCACACTCGCTGCCATCATGCATGGATGAGTGTGTGTGTGTGTGTTTGCTCTGCAGATGTGAACGAGTGTCTGCACTCAGAGGGGCTGGTGTGTGGATCCCAGCGCTGTGAGAACACCATCGGCTCGTTCCGCTGTGACGCATCCTGCCAGCCCGGATACCACATCACCGCCTCCGGAGAGTGTGTGGGTGAGTCGGTAAATCACACACACACACACACACACACACACACGTGCAGAATGACAGCGGGCTCTCTCTCACAGACATTAACGAGTGCGCTAACGAGACGGTGTGCGGACATCACGCCTTCTGCCAGAATCTGATCGGCACGTATCAGTGTCTGTGTGACCAGGGCTACGAGTCCACCGGCGACGGACAGATGTGTGTGGGTGAGTGCATCACTGCAGGAAAACAAGTGCACTTCAGCACGCTTTAAAAAAGAGGAGTTACAGAAATGATATACTTCATACTTACACTTAAACGTATACTTAACAGAATTTACTGAAGTGTGAACTTCATGTAATATTTCCAGTCACTTAATTGCATGGTATTTACAATTAAATGAAAATGTTTTATATTTCAAATTTATATAACATTCAATTTAAAATTAACTACTTAACTACTTAAGTGGGTCAAGTGCTGTTTAGACCCACTTAAGTAGGACTTCAGTACATCTTTATATGTAATTTAATTTTGTAATTACATATTTGTAATGATGAAGTTGCAATTTAGTACATTTAAAATATATTAACTTTAAATTTAATATCTATCACACTAGAGTTAAAACTATTGTATATGCAAGCACTTTTAATGTGCTTTAGTATGTTAGTCAACACATCAAAATAAGTGTACTTAAAAGCACAAGAAAAAAATGAAGGATTGTTAAGGAACTTTAAGGATTTAAAATGTACTTTAAAGTAAAACTTTTAATTTGACATTGTAACAAAGTGCACTTTTTAAAAGGCTACTTAAGTGGCTATATATCTATTTTTCTATTATTTTGCATATCATTTGTGGGGTTTAGTATAAATAAAATACAGTATAATGAATAAAACAAGGGAACAAATTAGTACAACATAACCACAAATTAATAAATAGTGTGGAATAATTATTCAATTGTGGCCACAATATCTTTTTTTCTCCTCCACATGTTGTGTGGAAATAAAATAAAATAAAATAAAATAAAATAAAATAAAATAAAATAGAATAGAATAGAATAGAATAGAATAGAATAGAATAAAATAAAATAGAATAGTATAATGTGCCCACAATGTATTTAAAACGAGGGAACAAAATAATTAAAAAATGTTTACTAATTAAAAGTGATGAGGATTATTTTTAAATTGTCTTCCATATGTTGTGTGCATTAAATTAAATTAAATTAAATGTGGGAACAAATTATTACAACGTGCTCACAATTTAATTAAAATAACAATTTAATGTATTAAAAATTGGCTACTAATTAATAAATCAAGGGGATTATTGTGGCCATGATACTTTCAAATAAAACTTTAAAATATTTTGAATTTTTTTAAACATTTTAAAATTATATTTTATTTTTTAAGAGTGTATTTATGTGTGCTAAGAAACATAGTCATGAAAGTGTCTCTCTTTAAGTTCACTTAAGTGGCCTTTTTATTTAAAGTACAGTTTTATTTTAAGAAAATATACTTTTAAGATTTGAAGTGCAGTGCAAGTGCACATTCAGTACAATTAAGCACACTGCTTTCTCACAAGAGAAAGTTAAGTTTATTCTTAGAAAGTCTGTCCCTTTCTGCGCAGACATAAACGAGTGTGAGACGATGCAGGGTGTGTGTGGCTTTGCACGCTGCTGGAACGTCGAGGGCTCGTTCACGTGTGAGTGTGAGAACAGACAGGAGGAATTCGACCCGCTCGCAGGCCAGTGTGTGAACAGAGAGAGCACAGGTAACACACACACACACACACACACACACACTAATGGGCCTTCTGTTTCAGTGCTGCTCTCTACTGGTAATACTATAACTACTGCTAATAATGATGATGATGATGATGAAAATAATAACAGTATTAATACGTTTACTTTATATTGCTGTGATAAAGGCACCTTTTATAACATAAGCATGTGCATACCAAACAATATAACAACAAACACAATGCCTTTGTTCCAAAAACAAGTCAGCTGCTTGGCTTTCCGCTGCCTAGTTAGCAGCCTTCTAAGTGACCGATGTAACACTCTACACAGGCAGCAATTCTGTGTCATACAAGTAACAATCCTCAAGCAAATACTGGGCAAATAATCTACTTTTATTTCAATTGAACTAGCGATACCTTCTTTTTTCATTTGAAATAATATTATCCCTTGGAAATATTTAAGTACACTTTAAAATACCTTTAAAAAGAGTACTTATTATGGAAATAATGTACTTTAAAACAATATACTTAAGTGTAAATTGAGTGTGAATTTTTGGACACTTAACTGCGTGTTATTTACAAATAAATGTTAATGTATTATATTAAATGCAATTAGTTGAACTTAAGAGTGCTTATTGACCCACTTAATAGGACTTCAGTACGTCTTTATATGTCATTTCATAATTACTTCTATTACTTTTAAAAGTGTACGTCTTTAAAGCATGACAAAATATTATTTAAACATAATTATTTAAAATATACTTTAACGTACAGTGTATTTTACGTCATTACAGAGTGAATTTGAAAGTCTACTTAAGTATGTTAAGAAACCGTCTCTCTTTAAGTGACTTAAGTGACCTTTTATTTAAGTAATATTATCTGCAAGTGCAGTTTTTTTTTTAATGCTAAAAACCAACTAGTTAATAGTGAGAATTGGTCCTTAAAATGAAGTGTTACCGTGAGTGGATTCGCTGCAGGTCGGTCGGGGCCGTCTGGCGGAGACTCCTCGTCCTCAACTGGCCACGGTTCGTCTGGATCGTCCGGCTCTCTGCCGCAGACTCGACCTGGAGAAACGAGAGAGTGTTACTATGGCGTATCTGAGCCGTACTCCTGCAAGATACTGGCCCCAAACACCACGCTGCAGGAGTGCTGCTGTACAGCGGGACAGGGCTGGGGCCTCATGTGCCAATATGACGTCTGTCCCGAGACTGGAACAGGTGAACAAACACACACTAACACTGAAGAAATGCTGCATCAAGTGAGTCTGGCCTTGGGAAAAAGAAATGCACTTTAGCATACTTTTAAGTACTTATTATGGAAATAATATACTTTAAAATTATGTACTTAAAAGTGAACGATTCAGTGTTGTTAGTGTCATTGAAATACTATTATAGTTTTTATTCATATTTTGAATGTTTTTATTTTCCATTTGAATTTTAGTTGATTTCATTAAGTAAAATTTTTGGTTTTAAAAATGTTGTTTTGTGTTTTTGTCATTTTTGGCCTTTATGCCACCAGATTATGATGTCTTTTTTTCTTTTAGTGTCTATATAGTTTCTAATAATTTTTATTTCAGTTGAAGTTTCAGTTATTTTAGTACATCGTTAAAATTAATTAAAATGATAAATATTGCATTGGCAACTAGCTGAAAAAAAAGTTTTTTAAATATTTTATTTTATTTCAGTTAACGTTTATTTTATTTTAAGTATCGACAATGTTTTTTTTTTCAGTTTCAGTTTTATTTTTGGTTAACTATAATAATGAATTGAATACAATGCTTTGGACACTTAATTGCATTTTATTTAATTAAGATTTTATAGTAATTTATATTAAATGCAATTAGTTGAACTTAAGAGTGTGTTTTTGACCCACTTAAGTAGGACTTCAATACATCTTTATATGTAATTTCATAATTCTATTGTCTTTGAATTTAAAATATATGTTAATGTAACTTCTATTAACTTCTAAGTTTATCCAAGTTAATAGATCTACACATTATCCAAGTTGCAGTTTAGTACATTTAAAATGCATTAACTTTAAGTACTTTGCATGTGCTTTAGTATGTTAGTAAGTGTCTCTAAATGTGTTTCAATTTCATTAATATCATGTTGTCTGCTAGCACAGTTTTAAAAATATACTTTTAAGATTTGAAGCACATTACAAGCGCACATTCAAGTGCACTTCTTTTCCACCAGCATGAGTTTCTCACTTTTCCCTCCTCATCAATATCTCTCCGTTCAGCGGACTTCCAGTCGTTGTGTCCCAGTGGAAGAGGGTACGTCACCACGGAAACGGGAGCGTTCAGCTACAAGGGTAAAACTCACACACGGACAGACTCTGGTAGTCTCTAGTAGTTGCTGTTTCTAATCTGAGTGCGTTGGCCTCCGGACAGATGTGGACGAGTGTAAGCTGTTTGACCCGGAGGTGTGTAAAGGCGGCGTGTGTGTCAACAACATTCCCGGCTATGCCTGTTACTGTCCCAGCGGATTCCACTACGACACGGATCTGCTGGAGTGCATCGGTCAGCCTTTAAAACACTAGTGCCGGCTGGGATAGATGTCAGATCAGCAGACAGTGATGTGTGTGTCTCTCTGTCTCTCCTGTAGATAATAATGAATGTGAGAGTGAGGAGACCTGCACTGGCGGTCAGTGTGTAAATACACTGGGAATGTTTTACTGTACATGTGCGCCCCCTCTAGTGCTGGACGACACACAGCGCAACTGTGTCAATGCAAGCGGCCTCGCTGAGGGTGAGAGATGCACAGACACACACAGACTACAACATGACCTTTTCTGACTGCCACTGGTTTTGATAACATCTAGTAACCACCAATATTTCATGTGGGCCATTTTTATATTTAAAAAAAAAATGTCCCTATGGTAATGTAATTATATTTGATTATATATATATATATATATACACACACACATACATTTGTTTGTGTGTGTGTGTGTGTGTGTGTGTGTGTGTGTTAAGAGTTTCATTTGAAAGAGATTATTTTTTATTTAAAAATATGTTCCCTATGATAATGAAATTATATTTGATTTTACTAGCATACATTTTAGTATATATTTTTAAATGAATTATATGTCAAGAGTTTCATTTTAAAGGGATAGTTCAGCCAAAAATGAACCCTCATGTCATTCCAAACACATAAGAATTTAGATTTTTAAAAAACACAAATAAAAGTTGTCTTTTCCACCAAATTCCAAAAGGAAAAAGTGCACTTTAAATACCCGGATGATGCACTTAATCAACCAAAAAATACAAAATAAAAATCAATCCAAACAACAAACACTGTGAAAGCAGTGTGCTTAAATGTACTGAATGTGCAATTGTAGTGTAAAGTATGCTATTAAAAACTGGACTTGCAGATAATATATTATTGAAATAAAAGACCACTTAAGTGACTTAAAGAGAGACACTTTCATGGCTGTTTCTTAACACACTTAAGTAGCCTTTTAAAAAGTGCGCTTTGTAATAATGTCAAATTAAAAGTTTTACTTTAAAGTACATTACGGTTTAATATTATTTTGTGGTGCTTTAAAGAAGTACACTTATTCTGATGTGTTGACTAACATGCTAAAGCACTTGTCAAATACTGGAATACTGTATATTTTTAACTGTAGTGTGTTAATTACATTTAAAGTTAAGTACTAAATTACAACTGCATTCCATTCAGCAGTAACATTAACCGTATTTCAAAGACAATCGAAGTAATCCTGAAAAAAAGGAAAAAGTGCACTTTAAATACCCGGATGATGCACTTAATCAACCAAAAAATACAAAATAAAAATCAATCCAAACAACAAACACTGTGAAAGCAGTGTGCTTAAATGTACTGAATGTGCAATTGTAGTGTAAAGTATGCTATTAAAAACTGGACTTGCAGATAATATATTATTGAAATAAAAGACCACTTAAGTGACTTAAAGAGAGACACTTTCATGGCTGTTTCTTAACACACTTAAGTAGCCTTTTAAAAAGTGCGCTTTGTTATAATGTCAAATTAAAAGTTTTACTTTAAAGTACATTACGGATTAATATTATTTTGTGGTGTTTTAAAGAAGTACACTTATTCTGATGTGTTGACTAACATGCTAAAGCACTTGTCAAATACTGGAATACTGTATATTTTAACTGTAGTGTGTTAATTACATTTAAAGTTAAGTACTAAATTACAACTGCATTCCATTCAGCAGTAACATTAACCGTATTTCAAAGACAATCGAAGTAATCCTGAACTGACCGTACATATAAAGAAGTACTGAAGTCCTGATTTGAAGTGGGTCAAATCAAAAACTGTAAAGTTTGACTAATTGTGTTTATTATGAATTTAAACTATAATATAATAATTTTATTGCAAATAACATGCAGTTAAGTGTCCGAAACATTTAGTTCACACATAAAAAAAAATTAAATAATTATATATATATATATATATATATATGCTAAAGTGTACTTTTTCAGAGGTGAAAAAATATCCTTTTTTTTTTTGTTGTTTTTGTCTGTTTAGATGTTTTAAGACTGGAATACACTATACGACTTTTAAAATCTGACCAGGATTTTTAAAACACCCAGTATCATACACTTGCCAACTTTGTAACCAGTCACAGAGGAAAGCCTGGCCATCATACACTAAACGAGTGAGGATCATTTACACACTGCCAGACTTTAAAGTCATTCCGATCACAACAAACTCACACAGAAACGTGCGTCTTGTTTCTAGGAGACGCGTGACAAATGAAAACAATGTGTTCTAAAATCAGCTCAAAATATCAAACATCTGTGATCTCCTCCGACTGGATGGAATCAGAGTCTGGGACCATCATACACTATGCGATTTTCTATGAAATCTGTCAACTCCAATCTGCAGACTGGCTCTGACTTTTGGCAGCTATCGCCGACTTCTCCAGACTGTCAATCGGGGAGAAATCATGTAGTGTATTCCAGCCTTTAGTTTCTTTGAATTTTAATTCAGTTAATTCTATTTTCAATCATTCCAATAAAATCCTTATTCTCATACTTCTTTACTTTCTGAATTTTGCCCGACCCTCAGACACTCATTCGGTTTCACTCTTTAACTCATTTTCATTTGTACTCCTGATTAGAGGCCTATGAGGCCCTGTGTAATGAGTTCGGTCCTCCTCCTTACTCTCCTCGTTACGATGAGCGGTACAGCCCCCCAGAGTACCCCGAACCCCTGCCGGGACGCCCAGACTACATGCCACCTAATTATGATGACTACAGTCCTGTGGGAGCGAGTGGACGGCGGTCGGGGCTGAGAGGCAGAACACCCAGCACATACGGACTCCCAGACGCCCCCTACAGGCAGCCGGCCACAGGGTGAGTTGGTCATTTGAACGATGCACTACTAATAACCAGCTTGTGTGTAAGCAGTGTTAATTTTGACAGCAAATTTTTATTTAGTTTTAGTCCTAGTCTTTTGACTAAAATGCCATTTAGTTTTAGTCATATTTTAGTCATCTGAATTGTTTTTAGTTTTAGTCTAGTTTTAGTTGACTAAATCTACAGTAAATTTAGTCGGCTAAAATCTAATGGGTTTAGTTACGGTGTAATGCATTTATTAAGCATTTCTCTAAAATTTCCAAACTCATTATATAGGTTTGATATTAAGGTTTTATCATGATAGACACCGATTTGACTGTGGTGACGCAGAACATGCCTTTATGTTAAAATGAAATAAATCAACTTCTCATAAAGAACAAGAACATGATCTTCTTAATGAAGTACCAATGGTTATATTATATATATATATATATATATATAGTAATCAACTGTGTTTACATGAATACTCGTCAAAACGGACAATTCGACATCATTTTGTGTGTAATTCTCCGTTCATGCGACGCGAGAGAGTACTTGCGTGAGAGGCGCTTTCTGTGTGTGTGTGCTTCAGTGTCTGCGCTCAGAAAACCGGACCGAATTGAGTTCTCTCTTGCGTCGTTAGATTTATCCATATGTCTGCTCTTCTCTTACTTCCACATATTGACATTTCTGAACGTTTTATGTGATGTGCAGCAAGTGTATGTTAGCTTATGTCCCGCCGGTTCATATGTACGCATCTAACCTCCCAACCATGCAGCAGATTCCTTCTGAATGAATCTCTTCCCAAATCGTCCCTCCCTAACATTTTCGTCTAGTTTTTATTAGTTGACGAAAATGTCAATCAATTTTCGTCATAGTTTTTGTCATTCAAAAAGAGTTTTCTTCTCATTGTCGTCGGTGAAAAAAATGTTGTTGACGAAAATGATGACGAAAATTATTCGTCAACGAAATTAACACTGTGTGTAACTGTGCCCGACTTATCTCCAGTGGAAGTCGTTACTATGAGGAGGACGATTATGAAACCGCGCCCGGCCCTCCTTTCGACATCCCGGATCCTCGCGGCGAGCGGATGTTCGACGCGCGACCCCTGCCGCCCCGTCCAGACGGGCTTCCACTCAGCTTGGCCCCGTTTCCGGAAAACTCCCCATACAGCGAGGCAGAGGAGGCGGAGTCATGGAGAGCCCCGCCCCCATTCCCAATGTTTCCCGAGATACGGGAGGGACCACGACGAGTCTATGAGCGTGAGTCCAAAATATGAAGATAAGAGATTAGAATAATGCAAAAAACATACTAAACCAGTCCAAAGTGGTTTACTGGTCTGGTTGCTGATTTTAGATTATAACTCACAGAAGTTGTCTATACTGCAAAATGAATTGCTTACTTCTTTTTGCAATTTTTTTGTTGTTTATGATACAAACATGCACTGAACAGAACTTCTGTGCCTCTCATTGGCCATGTGATTCATAAGCTCAACAGAAACACGTAAGATTGGTTATAATGAAGTGAAGTGAAGTGACATGTGGCCAAGTATGGTGACCCATACTCGGAATTAGTGCTCTGCATTTAACCCATCCAAAGTGCACACACACACAGCAGTGAACACACACACACCGTGAACACACACCTGGAGCAGTGGGCAGCCATTTATGCTGCGGCGCCCGGGGAGCAGTTGGGGGTTCGGTGCCTTGCTCAAGGGCACCTCAGTCGTGGTATTGAAGGTGGAAGAGAGTGCTGTACATTCACTCCCCGCACCTACAATCCATGCGCTCACTCAACCAAGCGTTCTAACCACGACCTCGCCCCTCCCCACCCCCCAACCATTCACATTTCTGTAGGCGGGAATTCTTTGTAATGAAATTCTAATGAGCCGCTTTGTGATATCATAAAGCCCGGAAACCAAACGCTGTAGTCCAAACGAGCCGTTTGCTGTAGTTCTTGAAAATTGATTTTTAAAAACCGAAATATCTCCCTTTGGAGTGGACTTTGAGATTTGTAACTTTCTAGATCTTTTTTATGCCCAAACATACACACTACACACCTTTAAACTTTGAACTCGTATGTAGTGTACGAACACAGAAGCAGCTGTGATTCCTGTGTGTGTTTTAGGGAGATATGAATCCTACGGGAGTCTGAGTTCAGAAGAGTGTGGCATTGTCCACGGCTGTGAAAATGGCCGCTGTATCCGCGTGGAGGAAGGTTACACGTGTGACTGTTACGACGGCTATCAGCTGGACATCACTAGCATGACGTGC